AAGTTCCTTCGCTCCAGATGCTCCACTAATTTTCTTCGCCAAAATCTTCTCCATCAGCTTGCATGGTATGCAGGTTAGGGACACTGGCCTGTAGTTCAGTGCCTCTGTCTATCCCCGTTCTTGTATATCGGGACTACGTTAGCTGCTTTCCAAATTTCTGGCAGTTCCCCTGTTACCAGTGATTTGTTATACACTATGGAGAGTGGGAGGCACAGTGCTTCTGCTCCTTCCTTTAGTATCCAAGGGGAGATTCCATCTGGGCCTATAGCCTTTGTCACATGTGTGTGTGTGTGTGCGTGTGCGTGCGTGTGTGGCACGCGTGTGAGTGCAGAGCGCTTGACATAACCCCTCCTGGAGACCCTCTACTACAACGTTGCATAAATGTGTAGGCAGCACGTAGCTGTACAGTATAAGGGGGTCTCGCCATACCGCCATGGACAAATGCCCGCATGTTTATTTTCATTTTGGTATATGTTAGAGTGGCCGTGAGCGCGTGTGCGCTGAGCCCGCTCAGGTTGTAAAGGTTTGTATTGACGCGGCGTGGTGCGTGCGTGTGTGGCACGCGTGTGAGTGCAGTAGCGCCACGACATAACCCCTCCTAAAAGACCCTCTACTAAACGTTGCATAAATGTGTTGTTGCAGCACGTAGATATACAGTATAAGGGGGTCTCGCCATGGGGGTGAGGGGACAAATGGGGCCGCATGTTTAGGGGGGACATTTTGGAATATGTTAGAGTGGCCGTGAGCGCGTGTGCGCTGAGCCCGCTCAGGTTGTAAAGGTTTGTATTGACGCGGCGCTCAATGGCTGTGTGAGGGGGGCAGGCTGGGGGGAGATATATGCAAGGGAGGGGAGGGGGGAAGGCTGGGGAGAGGGGGGCAGGCTGGGGAGGGGGGGCAGGCTGGGGAGGGGGGTAGGCTGGGGAGGGGGGGCAGGCTGGGGAGGAGGGGCAGGCTGGGGAGGGGGGGGGCAGGCTGGGGAGGGGGGCAGGCTGGGAGGGGGGCAGGCTGGGGAGGGGGGCAGGCTGGGGAGGGGGGCAGGCTGGGAAGGAGGGGCAGGCTGGGGAGGGGGGGCAGGCTGGGGGAGGGGGCAGGCTGGGGAGGGGGGGCAGGCTGGGGAGGGGGGGCAGGCTGGGGAGGGGGCAGGCTGGGAAGGGGGGGCAGGCTGGGGAGGGGGACAGGCTGGGGAGGGGGGGCAGGCTGGGGAGGGGGGGCAGGCTGGGGAGGGGGGCAGGCTGGGGAGAGGGGCAGGCTGGGGAGGGGTGCAGGCTGGTGAGGGGGGCAGGCTGGGGAGGGGGGGCAGGCTGGGGAGGGGGGCAGGCTGGGGAGGGGGGGCAGGCTGGGGAGGGGGGCAGGCTGGGAGGGGGGCAGGCTGGAGGGGGGCAGGCTGGGGAGGGGGGGCAGGCTGGGGAGGGGGGCAGGCTGGGGAGGGGGCAGGCTGGGGAGGGGGGCAGGCTGGGGAGGGGCAGGCTGGGGAGGGGGAGGGGGGGGAGGGCAGGGGGGGAGGGGGCAGGCTGGGGAGGGGGGGCAGGCTGGGGAGGGGGGCAGGCTGGGGAGGGGGGGGCAGGCTGGGGAGGGGGGCAGGCTGGGGAGGGGGGCAGGCTGGGAGGGGGGCAGGCTGGGGAGGGGGGGCAGGCTGGGGAGGGGGGGGCAGGCTGGGGAGGGGGGCTGGGGAGGCTGGCAGGCTGGGGAGGGGGGCAGGCTGGGGAGGGGGGCAGGCTGGGGAGGGGGGCAGGCTGGGAAGGGGCAGGCTGGGGAGGGGGCAGGCTGGGGAGGGGGGGGCAGGCTGGGGAGGGGGGCAGGCTGGGGAGGGGGGCAGGCTGGGAGGGGGCAGGCTGGGGAGGGGGCAGGCTGGGGAGGGGGGCAGCTGGTTAAGAGGGCAGGCTGGGGGCGGGGCAGGCTGGGGAGGGGGGGCAGGCTGGGGAGGGCGGGCAGGCTGGGCGAGGGGGGCAGGCTGGGGAGGGGGGCAGGCTGGGGAGGGGGGAAGGCTGGGGAGGGGGGGGGAAGGGGCAGGCTGGGGAAGGGGGCAGGCTGGGGAGGGGCAGGCTGGGAAGGGGGCAGGCTGGGGAGGGGGCAGGCTGGGGAGGGCAGGCTGCAGGCTGGGGAGGGCTGGGGAGGCTGGGAGGGGGGCAGGCTGGGTGGAAAGGGGCAGGGGCAGGGGAGGGGGGCAGGCTGGAGGGAGGGGGCAGGCTGGGGAGGGGGGCAGGCTGGGGAGGGGAGCAGGCTGGAGGGGGCAGGCTGGGATGGGGAGGTCTGGGGAAGCAGGCTGGGGATGGAAAGGGGCAGGCTCAGGCTGAGGAGGGGTCAGGGGGCAGGCTATCTGGGGGGGGGGCAGGCCTGGTCAGGAAGGCCAGGGTGGGAGGAAGCAGGATAAACTCCCAGGGTATCTGGGAGTCAGGAAGCCTTAGGCTGCAATATTCCCCCTCTAACATTCTAATACCCATCTAAAATACCACTGAAGCCTCCTAATACCCAGGTAAAATACCCCGTACACATGCCCTGATGCCCATCAAACGCACAAGAGGCGCAATAACTCTTGATTCATATAAACATTATGAAACCAAACTCATCCTAATTTATCGACTTTGACATGGGCCAAGTTCATAACTTTTATTCACTAATATATGTAAAAATATATTCGAGTTAGTTTACACAAAATTACATTATTACACTGAAGTGTCTCCTCACATCGTCCCTTCTGATTATTTTGTACGTCTAGATCATGTCTCGCTATTCCACTACTCTTCAAGTGTTATTAGATTCATTTCCCCTCAATCTTTCCACGTGCTTCAGTCCTCTCAAACGTTGTGTGTGTGTGTGTGTGTGTGTGTGTGGTGTGTGTGTGTGTGTGTGTGTGTGTGTGTGTGTGTGTGTGTGTGTGTGTGTGTGTGGAGACCAGTGTTCCCAGCCCTATTACAACTGTCTTTTCTTGGGCTGATGTGCGTGCCTGCGTGCCTGCGTATATGCATACTCGTGTATATTAGGGATTGTATTTTATGTTTTGTATGATACATTAGAAGATTATGTGATATTTCCCCGGACACAACTAACCTAACCTCCCGGCCTCTCTCCCTCCACAGACTAAGGAACACAACTAACCTAACCTCCCGGCCTCTCTCCCTCTACAGACTAAGGAACACAACTAACCTAACCTCTCGGCCTCTCTCCCTCCACAGACTAAGGAACACAACTAACCTAACCTCTCGGCCTCTCTCCCTCCACAGACTAAGGAACACAACTAACCTAACCTCTCGGCCTCTCTCCCTCCACAGACTAAGGAACACAACTAACCTAACCTCCCGGCCTCTCTCCCTCCACAGACTAAGGAACACAACTAACCTAACCTCTCGGCCTCTCTCCCTCCACAGACTAAGGAACACAACTAACCTAACCTCCCGGCCTCTCTCCCTCCACAGACTAAGGAACACAACTAACCTAACCTCTCGGCCTCTCTCCCTCCACAGACTAAGGAACACAACTAACCTAACCTCCCGGCCTCTCTCCCTCCACAGACTAAGGAACACAACTAACCTAACCTCTCGGCCTCTCTCCCTCCACAGACCAAGGAACACAACTAACCTAACCTCTCGGCCTCTCCCTCCACAGACTAAGGAACACAACTAACCTAACCTCCCGGCCTCTCTCCCTCCACAGACTAAGGAACACAACTAACCTAACCTCCCGGCCTCTCTCCCTCCACAGACCAAGGAACACGACATGTGTGCTCACCAAGTCTCGCCCCCAGACTTCAAGAACTTGGAAACATCGACCAACATTGAGAAGCTGACGAATAAGAACTGGATGATCTCCTTGGGAGGCGGTGGTGGTGGCGGCGGCGGCTCCTTCGTGTTCATGGTGAGTCTCTCCTCTCCGGCGGTGAGTTCTGTGAGTAATACTGAATTGTGAGTAATAATGAATACTCATTTACATCTTGGTACCATTGGATGCAGAGGTACCATTGGATGCAGAGGTACCATTGGATGCAGAGGTATCGTTGGATGCAGAGGTACCATCGAATGCAGAGGTACCATTGGATGCAGAGGTACCATTGTGTGCAGAGGTATCATTTGGATGCAGAGGTATCATTGGATGCAGAGGTACCATTGTGTGCAGAGGTACCATTGGATGCAGAGGTACCATTGGATGCAGAGGTACCATTGGATGCAGAGGTACCATTGGATGCAGAGGTACCATTGGATGCAGAGGTACCATTGGAAGCAGAGGTACCATTGGATGCAGAGGTACCATAGGATGCAGAGGCATCATTGTGTGCAGAGGTACCATTGGATGCAGAGGTACCATTGGATGCAGAGGTATCATTGGATGCAGAGGTACCATTGTGTGCAGAGGTATCATTGGATACAGAGGTATCATTGGATGCAAAGGTATCATTGGATGCAAAGGTACCATTGGATGCAGAGGTACCATTGGATGCAGAGGTACCATTTGATGCAGAGGTACCATTGGATGCAGAGTTACCATTATGTGCAGAGGTACCATTGGATGCAGAGGTATCATTGGATGCAGAGGTATCATTGGATGCAGAGGTACCATTGGATGCAGAGGTACCATTGGATGCAGAGGTACCATTGGATGCAGAGGTACCATTGGATGCAGAGGTACCATTGGATGCAGAGGTATCATTGGATGCAGAGGTACCATTGGATGCAGAGGTACAATTGGATGCAGAGGTACCATTGGATGCAGAGGTACCATTGGATGCAGAGGTACCATCGGATGCAGAGGTACCATTGGATGCAGAGGTACCATTATGTGCAGAGGTACCATTGGATGCAGAGGTATCATTGGATGCAGAGGTATCATTGGATGCAGAGGTATCATTGGATGCAGAGGTACCATTGGATGCAGAGGTACCATTGGATGCAGAGGTACCATTGGATGCAGAGGTACCATTGGATGCAGAGGTATCATTGGATGCAGAGGTACCATTGGATGCAGAGGTACCATTGTGTGCAGAGGTACCATTGGATGCAGAGGTATCATTGGATGCAGAGGTACCATTGGATGCAGAGGTACCATTGGATGCAGAGGTACCATTGGATGCAGAGGTATCATTTGATGCAGAGGTACCATTGGATGCAGAGGTACCATTAGATGCAGAGGTACCATTGGATGCAGAGGTATCATTTGATGCAGAGGTACCATTGGATGCAGAGGTACCATTAGATGCAGAGGTACCATTGGATGCAGAGGTATCATTGTGTGCAGAGGTACCATTGGATGCAGAGGTACCATTGGATGCAGAGGTACCATTGGATGCAGAGGTACCATTGTGTGGCAGAACCTACATATGGTCGTTTGACTTTATTTCACCGGTAATATACATGCTGAGAGAACAGGTTCTCGATACGAATCAGAGACAGTATGAGAGACAAGGCCAGGAGTCATCACCCATTTACGAAACCTGTACATCTTTCCTTAATCATGGCGGCTTTGTTTACGTTTATTAAACCAGCTTATACGAGCTTGGGAACTTCACAAGCCAAGGGGTTGTTATTGTTGTAAACAACCTACGAGTGCTTCGGAATTCGTGAAATTCTTTTACGAATTGCGTAAGTCATCCGTATTCTGAGACGGGACCTCGGCCAGGATGGACAGAGCCGTCGACGTTCCTTCATCTAACGATGTGTGGTTTGGTCATCTCCAAGATATCAACGTGTCATCCTACCAAGATATCAACGTGTCATCCCCCCCCCAAGATATCAACGTGTCATCCCCCAAGATATCAACGTGTCATCCTATCAAGATATCAACGTGTCATCCCCACCAAAGATATCAACGTGTCATCTCCCTAGATATCAACGTGTCATCCCCCCAAGATATCAACGTGTCATCCCCCCAAGATATCAACGTGTCATCCCCACCAAAGATATCAACGTGTCATCCCCCAAGATATCAACGTGTCATCCCCCCAAGATATCAACGTGTCATCCCCCAAGATATCAACATGTCATCCCCCCAAGATATCAACGTGTCATCCCCCAAGATATCAACGTGTCATCCTCCCAAGATATCAACGTGTCATCCCCCCAAGATATCAACGTGTCATCCCCACCAAAGATATCAACGTGTCATCCCCCAAGATATCAACGTGTCATCCCCCCAAGATATCAACGTGTCATCCCCCAAGATATCAACATGTCATCCCACCAAGATATCAACGTGTCATCCCCCCAAGATATCAACGTGTCATCCCCCAAGATATCAACGTGTCATCCCCCCAAGATATCAACGTGTCATCCCCACCAAAGATATCAACGTGTCATCCCCCCAAGATATCAACGTGTCATCCCCCCAAGATATCAACGTGTCATCCCCACCCAAGATATCAACGTGTCATCCCCCCAAGATATGAACGTGTCATCCTCGAGTACAAAGTTCTTCGCGAGACATTCGCACGTTCGAGCCAATTTCAGTATGACTGTGTATTATCTTA